GTGCAAGTCAAGGACACGAGTTTGAGGGTGCTAGGCGAGGAGCATCCAGACACGCTGACGAGCATGGCCAACCTAGCGTCGACGTACAGGAATCAAGGGCGGTGGAAGGAGGCCGAAGAGCTGCAAGCGAAAGAGCTAGAGGCGTGTTCTAGAGTTCAGGGTATAGAGCATCCACACACACTAATCAGCATGGCTAACCTTGCAGCTATATGGAAAGGTCAAAACCGAGATGACGATGCTCTGCAGTTAATAAACCAATGTTTGGAGCTCCGGATCAAAGTACTGGGCAAAAATCATCCTCACACTGTATCCACAATGGTGACCTTACGTCAATGGAGCGGAGTAGATTTTAATTCCTTGATTTCCCAAACAGGTCATACTGCTAGTTCTGGCGATGAACAGTTAGTTACTGGTAATATTGGTGAAGTGAGCTAAAAATTTTTATAGCATATGCTAGTAGTTAGTTTCATTTTATTTTCTGATACTATACCTTAACTATTTGATCCTAAGAACTTTCCTGTTCTTTTAGTGGCTCCAGCAACGACTAAAGCAGTATGCCGATGTTTTTGGGGGGCGTAATAGTAAAATAGACTTCTAACATAGGTCATGTAAGCGCGGTGATGATGCATTTCTAAGCACGTAATGGTATATCAGTATGCTTCACTGATCTCAGAAATATGATTTGATTTGATTTAATTTAATTTGATTCATTATTCACCCTGACCTATCCTAGTTAGGATATACAGGCTATGTCAATGTCTGTGCGGAAAATCACGGGAACGATGAATGGTGCATAAGTGAGATCGTAAACCTGCTTAGTTCATTATATGCTGTCTTGACTGATGGATTGTCTGGTTGTTCTCCTGTCCCCTACCCCTGGCTCTCCTCTCTTATCTAGCCAGCATTTGCTTATGTCACGTGATACTTGGTATGTGCTTAGACTAACAGATAGCAGCGTATGCTCCTACTTGGTCCTTCTTTTTGGATGTTGTACATGTCTTCCCCCTAGTATTCACCCCCTCCGTAGCGCTCACCACCACTATCTCCTCTCCATCCACCATCTTGATGTCCGATGGGGTTGGGTATAGTGCACGAGTCACGTGTTAGCGCGTTAAGGTCTCGGCGTGTCAACAATAGCGCGTTTCCACCTGCTGCAGATGATCTACTCGTTTTCTAAGCTCTTCGATTCCTAACCAATATGTCTGCTGTCGGTTTCTTATATTGTCTGATTGGATTGATTGATCTCAAGCTATCCTGCCAGGTGTTCTCTCACACCCGCCCCCAGGCTCCTCTGCTATCCCGTAGTCACGTATCCTGAATAGGCAATACGCTAGCCTCATTCAGAGTCCACTCTTCTGACAGGTTCTAGTAAGAGCAGGGTAATTTACAAGCAGAACTAGTCACAGCCAGTGGCTGTGCACAGGCTAGAACTAGAACAGCTTATTGGGCATTCCCAAGTTGGCGATTCCGCTTCACGATCTGACAAATGCAGCCGCGCATTATATCATCTGTTTCTGCCTGCACAATCGTATCGTACAGAATGATTTCGCCTCCACACTTCCACAGTATGAAACGTTCTCCATCATTATATCTTGATCTTCAAATACCGCCATAATGGCAGCGCCTGCGACAGAAGATCACACTCCACAAACAATTCAACCTCTAGATACCTCCATGATGGCCGAACCCGAGCCCCGCGACGATGAAAGGGAACCTACTGTTTGTCTCACAATACACTTCCGTGGAAGGCCCAATGAATTTACAGTCCCGGCAGACTGCACGCTCTCTGATCTCGCAGAGATGGTCGCGCAGATCTATGGCATACCTGCCGCAAGGCAGAAGTATATGGTTACACCCAAGGAGGGAACCTACAAGCACCCTTTCCCTCCTCTATCAGCAACCTCTCTACACAACAAGAAGATAGTGCTTCTCGGGACTCCCGAAAAGGAAATTGCCGACCTCCAAGAGTCCATCCGGGAAGCCCAGCGACAGATGCAACGGCGGCGACTGGCTCGCAGTGGCAAGGCGCCAGCCGTCAGCCGACGAGTCGACTGGAAGAAAGCCGGCGAGGAGGCGCAGTACACGTTTCACGCGATCAGGCCGCTCGCGTACCTGCCGAACCCGGAGCGGTCGCAGCGCTTTCTGGAGCAGCTGGCCAACGACCCGGGCATCAAGGCGAGCATGCGCAAGCACCGCTTCAGCGTCGGGCTCCTGACGGAGATGGACCCGGCCATGCACACGACGCACGAGTCGCGCACGCTGGGGCTGAACCGCAACCGCGGCGAGGTGATCGAGCTGCGGCTGCGCACCGACGCGTACGACGGCTACCGCGACTACAGGACCATCCGCAAGACGCTGTGCCACGAGCTGAGTCATAACGTGTGGGGCGACCACGACCGCAACTTCTGGGACCTGACCAAGCAGATCGAGGACGAGGTCGAGCGCAACGACTGGAGCCGAGGCGGCCGCGCGCTCGGCGACGACGAGTTCTACAACCCGCACGACGGCGGCGTAACGGACGAGGATCTGGTCGACGAGGGCGGCTGGACCGGTGGCGAGTTCGTGCTTGGTGGACAGGGCGCCGGCAGTCCTGCCGAGGGACTGAGCAGGAGAGAGATTCTGGCCAAGGCTGCCGAGGAAAGGGCGAGAAAGGCGAAAGACACGAAGGACAATCGGGGGCCCTCTGCCTCGTCTTGACAATGGGGCAACCGGCGATTACACATTGAAGAGAACATCAGCTGAAGGTATGAAATTTAGGTCTTATTACAGCATCGGGATCAGCATCAGTATAGCAGCGGCATTTCTAGATGACACGAAGAGGCAATCGACACCATCTGATCCCGTCTAGCTTGTACATCGAATTCAAGCACGAGTCAACGATTCCTCTTTTCCCCACTGCACCCTCCCTTTCCGGTCTTGGTCTCTTCTTGAAGTTTCTGATCGCTGTCCTTTTCAGCTCGCCCTCGTCCAACGCAGGAGCAGTCAAAAAAGGGAAACAAAAGACCTTTCCGCCAGATCACCCGAGGCGTGCTGTTCCTAAACGATCATGGCTCTCAGCTTCGTGAACACTAACTGCACGCCTAATCTGCCTCATACACGGTCATTGTCCACGGAAAAGGAATATCTTTTGTGCCAGCGGGCGCAGATTGATGCCGACGCGGGAGCTGAGCTGCTCAACCTGTAAGGTCCACAATGTGCTGCCGACATACAAGGATTGTGGCAGAGTCTATTATAGTACAATCATGATAATGTATATTGAGTCAAAGAGTACCTTTTCCCATTCTCTTTCTTCGACGGGTTTTGTGACGGTAAGAAAAGAAACGCACGGGAATTTCATTTGTATTTAGGAGACTTCCATGGCATCACCACTAGGGACGGAGCCGTTTGTGTATGAAAGTGTGACGGAGCCCGTTGAGCCGATGAATCGCTTCTCAAACTCGCTGACGAACTGCAAATTTCGGTAAATTAGCACGTGCATAATGTGGGCTATCGCGAGAATAACGCATACCTTGACGCTTCGCCCTGAGTCGTAGAAAAGTTTGAAGCTGCGCTCGACATCTGCTAGCTCGACCTTGCTCGCCCTGCGTTTCTGCGCTATCAGGAAGCTTGTCATGATGAGGTTGCTCGCATATCGTAGGCCGGCTTCCTGGCCGATCTTGGTCAACAGTGCGAGCGCGTCGGGGGACAGATCGACCTCCTCTTCTTGCGCGCGGATACTCAAAATCTTGCTGATTTCTTCCGGCTGGTATTCCACCGTATTGATGATGACGACGCGGTCCAAAAAGTCGAGGGGCAGGCCGTGCGGGGCTTTGTAGTTCGTCCCCCGGATGCGCGACGTGCCGCGATTGCTCGCCATAATGACGATGGGCGCCATCTCGTCCTCCAGAGCGCGGTTCACAAAGCTGAAGCACTCGATGTCGAGCATGTGCACCTCGTCAATGAACAGCACTCCAGGCACGATGACAGCCTTGCCTTCTTCCTTCCATTCAGCGACCTTGGTGTTGATCTGCTCGCGAATCTCGGAGCGGATCTCGCCCGTGTCGCCTGAGAACAGCGAGAGGAAGCCTTGCGTACGAGAGTTGATGACATCGATCTCGTGCAGGGATACAGTGTGCACAACCTCGCGGCGCTGCTGCAGCTCGCCGTCCGGACACTGGACAAACTTCGTGTCGGCGCCCATGGCGTCGTAGTCACGCGAGCGCGTGTACGATCTGCCTAACTTGGTGATCTTACCGCTGGCCTTGTCGATGGAGATGACGTCGCCAGCAATAACCTTTTCCTTAGTCATCGAGTCAATCATCTTGGTGCCCATGTCGTAGATTGTCTCCATGTCCGTTGTCTTGATGGTGAGCTTGCCTGTCTTGTTGCCCCCCGTCACGCTGCGGTCAATCTGAATCTCAACCACCTCGCCCTCGATGACCTCGCTCTCTTCGGTGATGCGCACAGCGATGCTGCGGCGGAAGGCCTGCATCAGCGCCTCCGTCTTGCTCATTTCCAGGCTGAAAATCTCGCTTGAGGACAGCATGGTGAACGGCACGTCCTTGCCAAGCTCCTGGCTCATGCCCATCGCAATGGCCGTCTTTCCTGTGCCCGGCGGACCCGCGATCAGAACGGCACGGCCAGCGATCTTGCCCTCCTGCACCATGCGCAGGATCACGCCGGCGGCCTTGCGCGCCTTTTCCTGGCCTACGATACCCTGACTGCTGGACTTGGGCTCGAGCGTGTCTGGATCGATACCTAGGCCGCGGATGTGCGAGTGCGCGGCCACTAGGTTCGAGAGCGACAGCAGAGTCCGTGACTCGGCGATCGTTGTGATGTTCTGGCGTTCCGTCAGGTCAGCAGCGCGGTTTGGATAGAGCGAATTGGGGTACGCGCGGTGCGTGCAATGCTTACCGCCGCCATCTTTGCAGATGTCCGAATGTAAGTATGTGGGTGCGGTCCGTCCTGCAACGCGCAGACAAAGGGAGAGATGAAGGCGGAGCTTGTGAGGGCGGGACGGAACGAGCGGTGGTGAACGAGACGCGTAGACAATGATGGTGAATTTGCTCAGCAACGAGAGCAGCGACGGCGATGAGGCTCCGGTCGCGACGGGGAAGTTGACCTGCAGTGGATCAATGGTCGCTTGGGCTTTTTCGCCAGCGCACCCACCGCTGCGGGCCAATGACAAGAGCTCTCCGCCTTGAGTTCGTCTCCGGCCGTCCGCAAGCCCAACGCACACACAAAAGAGCTCGCCGTCTGCCTCTACTTTGGGACATATGCATGATCACCCGCACACACAATCGCAGTGCTCCTGCACAGCCTGAGCAGCCAAGGCGCGTTCTCTTCAGCAGGCCATGAGGCGCCTTTCACGGCCTTGGGCGTCTCCTTTGTCATCCTATTGGCCGGGGAACGGCGGCGACGAGCAAAGACTGCAGAGATGGACCTATGGGGGCAAGCTTCCCAGCAGCCTGCAGCCTGTGGACACTGGCTGGTGATTCCTCCTGCTCCAAAAGAAGAAACGAGACGAAAAAGAAAAGCGGGATGAGGAAAAGATGAGACAGCTCTGGGTCTCATATAACTTAGCGACTATGCCTTCGACACTCCCCGTCGTCATTATCACCACACTCAACCGTGTCGTCGCGGCGGCACATCGGCCATCGCATGCGCTCTACACTATCTGGCAGTTGTATCGTTTCGAGACGGCGGGCTGCGTTTGTGTGTGTGACTGGTGAATTGCGAGTTTGAACCATCTCCATGCTGTTAGCAAGAGCTCCCGCCCAGTTACGTCCACTCTATCAATAATTCGCGCACGCCCAACGTGCTCCGCAGCGTAAGTCTGGCTTTGTTGCTGTCCTGTCGTTTCATTTTGCTTTACGCCTTCCAAAGACTCGCCCTTCCTCTAGTACGCCGTCGATGGGCCTCTGCCTGCATTATACGCGGCATCGTCGTAGAGTCCAGGCACGGCGCGAACGCATAACGTGTGGCGCTCTTATCTACTTTGTCTTCCCGACTTCTTTCTCCTTTTCGCTACAGATCCCACCACATCTTGTCTTCTAGGGGACAAGAAATATGAAATGCTTTGATGAACTGGCAACTTGGTATCACTCGTCACTGTGCACCAAATTAATTCAGAATCCCTCTCTCTCATTCCTTCCGTTCTCCTCTTGCACTTGCTTTCTCTCGCTGCTTTGTCTGCCAGTCGCGGACGAATTTGTTGCTCTTTACCTATTTATTAACTTTCACGCAAGACCGACGTTGAATATCACACACGAGCTGCCAGCTGATTTGCCTTGAAGCCGTCTATAGTGATCGGTCCGTGACATGACTATTGTGTCAAACGCTCCCTCAGCAGACCGATGTCGATGGACACGATTAAGCGTCCGGCCCCAGACGTGATCAGCACTGATCGCTTGAAACGAGGCCGGCTCGATCAGGAGCAGCTCTCGTGTGGTGTCAGGAACCAAAAAGACGAAGCAAACTGCTTCCTCCAGCATATTGTGGGATGCTTGTCAAATGGGCGTATGCCGGTTGGGCCCTCTACTGAGCCAAAGGCTCATACTGGACATCGAATTTCGGCCACCCGCCTTCCTCAGAATAGTCAAGGTGACGCCAAGGCAAAACGAAGGTATAGCTTAGGTCCTGATTGTCAGATGTCACGGGTGGGAGTGGACGGCCGCACGCCAGCGCTGGACACGCACACGCACAGCTACGACAAATCGAGGGACAAAAGCCCGTTCCGTAATCGCGACTGCAACGCGAAATCAGGCTCGCCCATGGACATAACAAAAGCAGAAACGACAGGCATTTCATTCACTGCAACTTCTAAACAAGCGATGAGGTCAAGAGCCTCGACCATGCAACCGTCGCTTGACTCTCCCACAAACAGTGCAGAAACGCACGCAACTATTCAATCGCCATGTACATCGTCTGCCCCAAACGGGCCAGCAGTTGCGGACGAGGCAAGCTCGCCGACTCCGGATCAACGAGCTGCGTCATTCTTAAGTAATCTAGCAGCATTGATGGAAGCGTCATATCATCACGCACACGAGTCTGCAGTGCTGGAGAAGCTAAGGGCAAGGCAAAAGGCTCGCTTGAGGTTCTTTGATGAGGTTTCGTCGAAAGCTCATGAGAATGAGATTAAGAATCAGGAGCGCGCTGTTCAAAAGGCAGAAGAACAAGTTTGTGAAAATGTACGACCGCTTTTCAACCTCGTCAAGGATCTCTTCATTGCACAGCCCAGTCCCAACTGTATCACATCGGAAAAAGATATACGTGAATTGAAAGACGAAATCTCACTCTTGAATCAGCGGGAAAAAGAACACCAGGCATGTATTGAACGCCTCAGCACGCGCAACCAGGAATTGGAAGCATCGATGAAGGACGTCACAAGTACTCTGAAGGATCACCTTCGACGCTTCGAGCAACTTAGCGCAGAGGATGAGGCGCTTCGGAAACAGATTAAGGAAGCCGAAAGGAGAGCAGCCGAGGCTCAATCTGGTGTAGAGAAAGAGGCAGAACAAAGAAATCAGGTTCTGAACAGTCTAAACCAGTCAATGGCACCCATGATTGGGAACAATGTCGAGTTTGATAAGCTTGTCAAAAATGTGGCTGCTCTCTTTCATGAGACTCGCGCCGTAACCCTCAGATTAAATGAGGTCAAAAGTGAAATAGATAAGTCCGTGAGAGAGTGGAAGGATTCCTTGAACCAAGAAATAAGGACGATCATCGACGATACGAAAGCACTTGGTTTAACTTGCAAGGTGGGCTACAGGACCCTGGAAAGTAAATTAGAGCTCGGCATCAAGACGAACAAGACTATTGTCGACGCGGTGCAGGCCAGATGCGACAAATTGAGCTCTACCCTTAATGATGTTCAAAATAACACCCGTGCAGATTATGAGGAGCTTATTGCGCAGAATGCAAAGAGCCTGGAGGTTAATGCGCTCAAGGAGAGGCTGGACGAAGTGCTGCATGACATAAACATGGTCAAAACTCTGAATAGGGAAGGATTTAACAATGGGAAAGAGAAGCATTCGAGTCTTATGGATAGACAGGATGCTATCATGAAGAGGATGGGCAAGCATGAAGCTGAACTTGACCGTTTCGAGGGAGCTTTAAGCAAGGTTGAAGAGGTGCAAAGGGACGTCGAAGAGAAAGTATGTGATATGAAAACATGGTGGATTGATGTGCAAGCTTTGAGAAGACTGGTAGAGGGAATGTCGGATCAGTTGACGATATCACTTGCCGATATTGAATATCTTAAGAAGCATGTTGAGGAACTACTAAACGATGTGAAGCCACCGCCAGAGGACGTGGCGAACCCTTCTAACATAGCAGGTCAAACACCGCACAAAGCAACTATGTTTGAGCGTGTCAAGCTACTCGAGCTGCAAGAACGGTACCGACATGACACCGAATATGACATGCTCAAACACGGGCACACTCCTGCAGCCCTCGGCATGCGTCTTAGAGCCTTGGAAGAAACAAACCAGAATACTATGCGATGTCTTGCCTTTTTAGAAAGTTCTACAAGCATGCTACGCAACAATGTTGACGCTTTGCAATCTGGCCCTAAATCTGTACCCGGTGAGGCATTGCTGAAAGTGAACTGCGACATAAATCACTTGCAAGCACAGATACAAAAGCTTCAGGAAACTGATCTCGCCGAGCTACGCCAACATCTCGATAAGGTGGTTCGTGTCCAAAGTGGAGCAATACAGAGTTTGGAAAACAGGATTCAGATCATCAATTCGGCCCCATTGGCCAAACAGATACTCGATCAGCTGAGTCCGAAGGTGCTTGCAGCCAGAGAACCGAAGCTGCAATCTCTGGAAGCCGCATTAAACGACACGAGAAAGCAAATGGGGTCGTTCTTGACCCAGCTTGCAACCTTGAAGCAGGCCATGCGAAGTATGGGCTCTAAAGTTGAGGTTAGACATAAGTGCGGCGCAGCAAATGACACAACTCCTGAGAGCACCTCAGAGTTGGAAATAAGATTAGACTCACACGTAGAAGCTACGGAGCAAAGGTTCACACAGATATATGATCATTACATACTTCCCCTTGAAATGAGGCTGAGTGACGAGGTCGCAAATCTGGAGAAGAAGATTGCAGACACAGGTAACATGGATACAGTCTGCGGGCTGGAACAACATACCAAGCAACTGAAGGAGGATGTGCTCAAATTAGGCTTGCAGGTGGCCACGTTTGAAGGCAAACTCCAGCGCGTGCAATCCTACCTTCCTTTGGTTCACCTTAATGACCTGAATCTGGGTACCAGAACGATAGGGATGCCGAGAGATGCTGACAACGGATCTTCTTCGCACAGTGCTTCATCAAACGTCCTTGGAATTTTGCGAGCAACAAACGTTGGAGCGTCTAGCGGTGGGTGCCAGTAGGGAGAGCAGCCCGAACTTACTGAGAAATCCACCTCTTCACTTGAAAGTTCCAGGGAAAGAAGAGACACAAGTTTATTGGCTCGAGGAGGAACGGAGGACGGTTGAGGAGCGCAAGTCCTCGCTGAATGGATATTCTCTTCCGCACTCACTTTAAGGTTATGAACTAATTGATCTGGTCAACGTCCTCTCTGTTATCCCTATAGTGGAGATGAATGGTCGGGACATGTACATGCCTACGAACACTATTCCAGGGCTGTCTACCGGACAGCCCTGTGTGTTTATAGTGTTGTTACCAAGGCTAAGTCGACGTTGGGAGGGTCGAAAATGGTGGTAACCTTTTTGCTCTTTATTGAAGAGATGTCTTGGGCGTTGATGTGAACTGATGCTCTGCCATTCTGAGCTAATGCTCAAAGTTCAACACTTAAAATTTTGCTTGGGACATGCGAGAGATGGTAGAGTATGAAGGCAAAATTGCTTAGAGGAAAATCTCGGTTGATTGCTTTTGTGAAAACATCTTACAAAAGGTTTACTTTAAAAGAGGAAGTTTAGGCATCTTACTCAACTTGTCCCACTCTTCCGTGCCCCCCCCCCCCCCCCTCTCCCTCTCTCCCCCTCTCTTCTCCCCCTTTTTTTTCGAAGCGGATGCTCTGTGGCATTCTCTCCTGGTCTTCGATATCCAGAACTGGTAGCATCCAACAGCGGCGCGATTGGATCCATCCGCTTCTTACCATCTTAGTAATGTCTCACTATTGGGCTACGAAACCACCACGTAATCTAAGAAATCACAGGGTAGCTATGTGCCGAGTATATTAAATATATTAAGTATATTTTGTTGAGTATAATCTGGACATATCACGTGTGAAATGACAGCACACTCTGGTCGGAGATTATACGTCAGAAATCCTGCACGAATTTAAGTTCTCGTTGGAGCAGAATCCTCGAGATGAGTTCCGGGGGTTTGGCCTGATACTCGTCCAACAGGACACCGTCCTTTGGCCCTTGTCATCCACCTCGCCATTCCAAGTGGACGACATTAAAGGCGTTTTGAGTACATCAAATCTCCTGGGAGTTTTGCAAGCAGGACCTTGGAACGAAATCGTCTCGCTGTTTTTGCGATAGGCATATGCTTGCGTAGGTAAACTAATCCCGTAGACGCATGCCGTAAGGGAGCCAACGGCGATGGTTGTTTGCTGCCTAGACCTTAATCTACCAGTCTGAACAGTCTATGGTGAAAAGCGTGTGGTCAAATGACCATTCTGTTTGAAAGGGAGGTATGGGCTGGGTGCGAAACTTGGCCCTCGGCCGTACAGCATATGAAGGGCCAGCGTGCAACGCATCGAATAAGGCAGATTGCAGTTTTTCTTACGGGGCAAAGTTTCTTGGAACACAGGCTGATGATAGCAAACGAACTGCGCGTTTTGCTCATGAGTGAAACGAATCCTCAGCCGAGGAGAACGCTGTGGTGCAACTGCCAAGCTGTTCACAACAGATCAAGGAGAGAACTGTCACATCCAAATGTTTGTCTCAGCGACTCCGAAGCGCTTGGCGGTTGTCGCAAAGCTCTTCGTGCGATTGGAGACGACTTCACCGTTCGACTCCACCGTTGGACTCCACCGTTGGACTCCGACATGAGGAACTGAGCACGCTGCCGCGACCCTTGCACTCGACAACCGTATGTGGCGCCGCTGTCGGACGATTTTTGGGGACATTGGCAAGGTTGCCCGTACCAAATATACCTGCATCTGGCTCCTAAACACCAGTGGCTCCCGTCCCAATCAGTCGATGGGCGGCACAAAGTCGAGCAACGGGTTTACCCTTGAAGCCAGACGCAACAAACAAGAACGAATCAATTCACGCTCCCTTGGGAAAACTGGATGGCGAGAGGGCCCTGGAAGGCCTGCAAACAGTGGGACAGTTGTGTCAAACAGCGCCATCCTTATGGTGACGGAGGCAAGCAAAGGGAAAAAAGTCACAGCAGGATGTAAGAGAGACACCGCTGTGCTGACAGGTCTCCACTGCGGAGAAACTGAACTCATCTCGCGACGGGAGCGCCCAGAAACACTTTGCCCAAAGGACGACAGACGCCGACCTTGGTGCACTTTGCCTAACAACAGGATCTGAAAAGGCGTCGCTTAGAAGAACGAGCGTTCGAGAAATGACAGCGGTCAGGAGTAAACGGCGAGGGCGGCAGGGAGTGGATCGGACGTTTTATTTTAGGGGACCACATGGGTATGGCTTGCGATGACGATGATCAAGAGGAGCATGCCGAAAAATAAGGTACGGCGCTGTGGAAAAGGCTCGATACCAAGAGTTTGTGGTTATTGGAAGGATTGTTTCATGACAGTTCGCGGATAATCCGATGGCGGGACATCGCGGATTGCGCTCTCACCATCGTTTCTCCAGCTGCATGCTCCTTGTGCTCTCAACGTCCTCAGTCTTCATCGCGAAGCCGTCCACGCCATCGACACGACGAGCGAACCTACCCGTGCCATGCTGGGCGATCGCTACTCTGGCCGCGATCAGCCGTCCAGGTCGAAGCTGGATCAGACAATCCTGTGTGCAGTGTTTAAACGCCAAGATCGGACGACCCCAGCCTCGAGGTCGATGCGGTTTCAGAATCCCGGTTGGCATCTTATCAGCCAGTCGCTAAACCTATCCGCCAATTTCTCATGGAGAAACCTCAGCAGGCCTCAATTTTTCCAACCGCTCGTCGCCTGCCGTGAACATGGGCGAATTGGCCGGCCAGTTTTTCTTTCGCTGGGGCACGCCAGCCTGGACCCGGCGGTGCTCCCAAGCGCTGTTTCGCGAGCTTCCCTGTGGCTCGAAGACATGACCGCCCACGAATACTCGCCTCGCGCCATGCGTCCCTATTCCAGCCTTGCTATACCCACTGGTGGCGTCACGTACTTCGATTAAGCACTTTCTCTGACAGCGTCTGGCCCACTTGACAAGTTGGATCGCCACGTCCGATGCCTGCTGGGAAGTGAAATGACAGGCTGCCGACCAACTCCAAACAATTCAAACGGACTAACCTAGAGCCTCACCGTCAACCGTCATCTCCGCACTCATCTCTCGCGTTGTATAAAAGAACCGACATGCTGTCGCCCTCACAATGCCTTTCTCTCACCACCATCACTTGGGTCCTGCACTCTTCAGCCATTCATTTTCGTTCATTTTTCTGTCGATACATTCGTTTGCCTCTGTGAGGACATTACATTCTTTTGGAGACCGGCTACTCTGAAGAACTGTGTTTACCCACCGCCCTTCGATTCTTTGTACATACTACGATCAAGATGAAGACCATCGCCGCTTCCATCCTCGCCGGCCTGGCCGCCAACGTTGCTGCGCACGGTATCGTGACCAAAATCACCATTGGCACCAAGACGTACCAGGGCTACGATCCCAACTTCCAGGTATGCATGCCTATTTGTCTCGAGTAGAATCTTGTACGAGGATTTGGCTGATTGCGAGTTGTAGTACATGCCCACTCCACCGGCAGTCATTGGCTGGACGGCTCCTCTTACCCAGGATCGTGGTCCTGTCGATGGCAACAAGCTGAACGACCCTGACATCATCTGCCAGCGTGGTGCTACCAACGCAGGCACCATCTCTGCCCCGGTCGCGGCTGGTGACTCCGTCTCCCTGCAGTGGACCCCGTGGCCAGAGTCTCACCACGGTCCGGTTCTCGACTACCTTGCCGACTGCGGTGGAGACTGCTCGACTGTTGACAAGACCACCCTGAAATTCTTCAAGATCGATGGCGTCGGCATGACCAGCACCGCTGGCAGCCCTCCAAACTTCGCCGACGATGACATGATCAAGAACAACAACACCTGGACCGTCAAGATCCCGTCCGACATCGCCCCAGGTAACTACGTCCTCCGTCACGAGACCATTGCTCTGCACCAGGCCCAGGCCGTCGGTGGCTCTCAGCCGTACCCGCAATGCATCAACCTCCAGATCACCGGCAGCGGCACTGCTAAGCCGGATGGTGTACTCGGAACTGAGCTGTACAAGGCAACCGACCCAGGCATTCAGTTCAACATCTACACCACCTTCACCAACACGAACCAGTACCCCGTTCCTGGCCCAACCCTCTACAGCGGCGCCGCAGGTGCCGGTGGTGTCTCGGCCCCTGCTGCCACCGCCTCTTCCGTTGCCGCCGCCTCGTCAGCTGCTGCTCCCGCGGGCACGACGACCAAGGCCAGCGCCGTTTCCTCGAGCACTCCAGCCGCAACTGGCGGTGCGGGCTGCAAGGTCAAGCGCTGGCACGCAAAGGACTTCTCGATGTAAATTATCGATCAGGTTTCATCCGCATACCACGGTGGAAGGGAGAAAGGAGGACTACGTGTGGAAGTCTGGCGACTGAAAAAAACTTCGATTTGAATGTACACCTACCTTTTTCTTTTGGCCTGCCTCGGCGGGATTGATTTAGAGGAATAAAAAACATGCATTTTCTTCAAGAAATGAAGAGATTGCTTGCTTCGTTGTTGTCGCCATCATCATTGTCTCCTCGTCTTGTACTTCCGTCTTGATAGACTGGCCGTAACAATAGTGGGTCCTTCAATTTGTCGCGTGAAGAAAGCCTGCAGTTGGGCATCTTTCGTCAGCGGTGTACGGTTACGGGTTAAGACGGCTAAGATAAGCCCGAAGGTTGGGCCTTCGTGCCGCGTGATTGGCCCGGAAGAGCCTGGTCACACATCATCGATCAAAGTCTTTTGACTCGAAAAGTTGAACCTTCTACCGTTCACACTTCACAAACGCACCAGGCTGTTCGTTCTTGCTGAGGAGCCGAGCTCTGCTCTCTCGCTACAAAGTACCTGTCCGCAAGACTTCACATCTGGGTGTTGTCTCTGTTGCCGGATCGCGTCCCACCCATGTCGACGTCAGCCCTCGTGCTTCTCGCCCTCAACACCGCTGTTCAAATGATTCAATAACACTCGTAGAAACCCTTTTTTTTTGGTGCGACGTCTTTTCTCTTGAACTCGTCATCCCTGAAACAGGCCGGCTCTGCGACCAGCAAGCACTCCGGACCTGTACAACTGTACAACGCACGACTCTGACGGCTGGCGCATCGGTTCCGCAACGCCGCGAACTTCGAAAGCGCGATGCCGAATTTGGCGATCGTCAACTTCAACACAGTATGTGCCACCCTGGGCGGCTTCATCGCCGTCTTCGGCCTGGTCTCATATCTGTTCAAGGAGAAACTGTACCTGTCTGAAGCGCGTAAGTGTCAATCCATCCGAACTGCGGCTCTGTCCCTAACGCGGACTTACAACACAGTCGTTTCGCTGATCGCGGGAATAATATTCTCGCCTCACGCCACAAATCTAATAAGACCACTCGAATATGCCTTCAATGATCAAGAAACTCTGAACACCATCACGCTTTACTTTACGCGGCTTGTGCTAGGTGTCCAGTTGGTCATTGCGGGCGTGCAGCTCCCATCGCGCTATCTCCAGTTGGAATGGAAGTCTCTCGCTCTGCTCCTTGGGCCCGGAATGGCGGGCATGTGGATTTGTACGTCTCTCCTTGTGTGGGCGTTTGTGCCAAACATTGGAATTCTTTACGCCCTTGCCGTCGGGGCATGCGTGACGCCGACGGATCCTGTTCTCTCAAACTCCATCGTCAAAGGCAAGTTTGCGGATAAAAATATACCCAAAGAGCTGCAGAAGATCATCATTGCCGAGAGCGGTACGAACGACGGGCTTGGTTATCCCTTTTTGTTCCTGCCATTATACTTGATCCGCTATACGCTTCACGGCAATCACGCTGCCGGCACTGCAATTGGCATGTGGTTCTACGAGACCTGGGCGTACGAAATCATTCTCGGCGCGCTTTACGGAGCCGTCGTTGGTTGGTTAGCCAAAGAGCTCCTCCATTGGGCCGAAGAGCGCCACTATATTGACCGGGAAAGTTTCCTCGTCTTCGCGATCGCTCTTGCATTGTTCATAATTGGAACGTGTGGTATGATCGGGAGCGACGATGTCCTGGCGTGCTTCATCGCAGGCAACACGTTCACGTGGGACGATTGGTTTCGCCTCGAAACGCAAGATGATTCTCTGCAGCCAACAATCGACATGTTGTTGAACGTCGCCGTATTCATCTGGTTCGGTGCTGTGGCACCGTGGCACGAGTTCGCCCACAACAGCGTCATTCCGATCTATCGTCTGATCCTGCTTGGTCTTCTGGTGCTGCTGATACGAAGGCCTCCAGTCGTGTTTGCCATGCACAAAAAAATCCACCAAATCGAGGAGTGGCGACAGGCACTGTTCGTCGGCTTCTTTGGCCCAATAGGTGTCTCTGCTGTGTTCTACCTATACGTTAGTCTTGAATATCTGCGGACGAGCGTCGAACAACATGGCCACGATCCCGAAGACGCGGAGAAGCTGGGTGAAACCATGAACGTCGTGATTTGGTTTCTTGTCATCTGCTCTGTGGTATGTTGTAACATTGTATTCTACAAATCGTCACTAACTCGCGCAAAGATCGTTCACGGGCTTTCAATTCCGCTTGGGAAACTGGGCTTCTACATCCCACGCACGTTGTCTCAAGCGCTGTCACAGAGTGAGGACGAACCCTCTTTTCATGTGCAGCCAGGTTCTGCAGTTGGCTTTCCAAGGCTACAGCGAATCGGCCGTAGTGCAATACTTGCAAGAGACTCAAACCCAAACTCCCGCTCAACGTCCAAAAGAGCTTCGCGCCTTATCGTTTCAAGCAACGGCCAATCACAGCTGTCGCTGGAGACCGGCAACGTCAATGAACAACCGAGCGCCGATTTGACAAAGAATATTCAGAATGCGAACAACGGTTCAGCTGGGATCAGTGCACAGGGAACTGAGTTTCCAGATTCTGACCAAATTACGCCTGTTGCCGAAGTGAACGGTGTGCCTGCTTTGGATCTCAAGCAATCTGTCAGAACTATCCGCTTTCCAGACGAAGTTAAACTTCGCGAAACTCCAAATGACCCGGCTACACATAATGATGCTGAAAGCAAATGAGGCGAGCATCAATGCTGAAAACATGTATGCTAGGCTTGGTTGTTACTCATTTTAGACTAGATGGTGGTCTATCTGGCGTGAGACATGAACACGCGTAACTTATAGGCTAGTCCATAGAAACACAACAATAGATAGAACAGATAGCCATTTGTGATCTACACATCTTGCCATCGAACATACGATCATCGACGAAAGAGGTGAAGTTGTCGTGAACGCCCCTGAGGACGAGAATGGCTGCGCCGATGTTGCCGATGCATTTGAGCTCAATTCCATGCTGAAATTAGAACCGGAAAATGTTACGTTCTCGTCTGCATGAAAAGTCTCCGTACCGAATTCAACCACGCCTAATGTTAACTCGGGCGCAAGGACTTCGTTTGTCTGAAGGAGGCGCAGGAAAGAGAGTACGTCAAGCTGGAATTGACGCACAGGATTTGCAGCTTGCCAAGTCAAGACGCTCTGTCCGTTGGTCTTTTTGCCTTTGTAGAGTTCACTCGTCGTGTATCAGCAATACCTCGCGTGTGTTTCGGTCTTCCAAACTCACAAGCTTTCGAATTGTCCCGGTTGGACGCTGGTGGCGTGCGTGATGCCCGTAGCGTTTCCGAATGGCATCCCAGCGCCGAAAGTCGCGAGCCATATCATCACTTCATAGTCCGCCGACTTGGCGTCTACGGCTTTCTGAACGTCCGCGTCTAAAAACATGTCGATGGCCACGTTTGCAACGGCCCCCACGTTCTGCAGAGCGTTGGTTCTATCGCTAGTAGGGAACATGTCCCACGCAGCATGCACGCTAAGGTCATGAATATCCCAAATGCGTCCGGGTAGATACTTGGAATTGAATCTAACGTAAGGGAATGAGTGGACCGGGTTCGAGTCGTCACCACGATCCCATTGCCACGTGACATTGAAACTGGTCGCGTCTGGATAAATCTAGTGGGCCTATGAGCCAACCGTAGCATCGAAAAGAGGCCGCGCTTACTGCTATGCACTGGTGTCCGCTCACAGCTGGGTTCCAGATATTGTTGTTGACTGCCCCAGCGTTAGAGAACGCCACGTTAGAGCTTGGTAAACTGCCTGACAGGTAACTCGTCCCTTGGGAATCCACGCAAAGTCATCACAGCGGCTGAGCTCCGGCTGTGCGCATGCAGTGCCGCATAGCACCGCGTTCGACAAGGCCACGCGAAAGCGAACGCTCGTCATGTCGAAGGCTAGCACGACCGCGGCAGAACAGATGGCTAGAGCCTGCCAAAAAAGCTAGTTCTACGTGCGCGGTGACAGCAGCGTGAGGTGTCGGTGTGTTTGGGAGGCAAAAAGCATCCTATGTCCTGACCCGGAGGCCATGAAGAATGAGAAGACTTGCTTTCATTCCCAACCAGGACTCTGATTTCTCGTCGACGAGGAGCACAGATTGGCAAAAGGAGCAGGGTGACGCAACACGCCGAGCCAATTAGCGTAGCGATGGTCCGCCTATCGTGTTGTAGTACCGTGGCAGCGAGACTACGGGATGCAAAAAGGTGCATGGTGCAGAAGTTCGGAGAATAATTCATTCTGCGCAGGAGCTTATGCAGGAACGTCTTCTTTCAGGATTGCTTGAGCGGAAATTGTGCATTTACAGGTTTGATTCTCACGTTGCTGCACCAATACATTCGCGGTCTGGCTTATGTCCCGAAATGTTTTGAAATCACTGCAGCCTCCCCGCAATGATGGTGCAAGAGAAAACAAAAGGAATAGAAAATATTAAAAAAAAACATGAACTCGTGCGAAAAAGCTTTCCACCCAAAAAAGAGAAAATCTCCAACCGTGACCTGAGCAGTGAATCATACCCAAAACCAAAATCGCTTGAGCTTCCTGGGGGTATATTGGAACGATTAAACGGATATACGTCAGGTGGCAAAAGGATCATAAATCCGAAAAGAATCGCATCGGACAAAAGATTCTGCGCTGTGGTCGGCTAGCGGTCTTTTGACGGGTAACCGAGACAGTGCACACTGGGTCCCGGGAGGAAGGTTGGAGGAGAGAGAGGTGGGGAGGACGAAGTTGTGTTCCCACCGCTTCTCTCCTGACCGATTGTAGATCGGTACGCTGGAACCCACGGACCCGAAGACGGCTGCAGGCATCAATGTCCCGAGGCCGTGCTCGTCTGTGATGCGGTCGATGGCGATGTTGTCGTTGAGTTTCCGCAACTGCCATCTCGTCGTTCCTTGCGTGCTTCGCGTCGACGTTGGCGTGCGGCCTCCTCTTTGCACACGGCACAAAGGTCATCGACTACGATTGTCCCATAACTATGATTGATACCTTGCCAACTGTTTGGATCGATGTCGACCGTGCTGGAATAATCCTTGAGAAGCCATGATGGCACAAGCTCATCCTGAAGCTTCAAGGTGTGCAGACAGGTGTAGGTGAAGTAGACACTGGTAGTCATGTTTCAGCGGTTCGCAATCGGACTGTCGCACGGGTGTGGAAATATGTCGTGAAACACAGATATTCTGTAATGATCACGCAGGATCGGGAGGAGAATGAAGATGGTAGGCTTGCTAAGAACAGAAAGGAGTTAAGAAGTCGTATCGAATGAGCAAGCATCGTATATTTGAACTGCGGCAATTCTTCGAGAGTACCAATGGGTGCTTCAAAGGATCATTTACGCAACAACCACATGATGAAGTCGGGAGGCGATGCTGCCTAAAACGCTTTTGGGCCATGTAGCCCACACCCATCGGCTGTGGGAAAAAAGGCGCGGATCAAAAGATGCTGGCGGTGTAAGGCTGAGTCTGCACGCAGGGGCCATCGCACGTCTAGTCTTGGGCCGTTACATGGAACAGCTGGCCAAAGTCGAGTGCGAACGACCGGCAGAGTCTCATGATTGGTGATTGCGGAGACGCACTCTCACGGCCACAACGGCAGATCACGCAAGACACGCGCTCGGGATGGCTGGCTAGATCCTTCCGGCGCGGAGGCAGTGGGCCAAGACCCCAAAGTTCGTTCAACACGTCAAGGCGGCGGGACCATCAGGAAATGGGATCGCTGCCGAAGACTACCCGTCCGCTTGTACAAGTACGTGTCAATGATGTGGCTAATTAGATGCACAATCGACGTTGGACTCGTGCCATGTGTCTGTTGTTAATCGCGCAGAAAGGGTGGAGTTCTTGTTGACCTCTCAATGGCTTCCAGGTGGTACGTGCCACGCGAGTCAGCGTGCTAACTTAATACTGATTCCAAGAGCCAGCCCTCTAACCTATGAGCGTAACAATCGATCGACGAGCGGGAGCATTTGGCGTGGCAGCAGCAATCCATTCGCCTCGAAACGAAAGAAGGGCGAGCCGAACATGCCATGGCCACGGAGATGCACTCCGCACCAACGATAAATGAGTAAATTCAGGACGGTAATTGGATTGACTGGATAGAGTACAAAGAACAGGTTTGCACTGGCGCGAACTGAGAGTGAAGGATGTAAGATCTGTTGCGCGACTCTCCAGGAGCCTCTTGATAGCAATAAGGCTTGTTCTGCTCATCCCAGGAGTCCGTACACAACGAGCTGCATTCGCTCCAACACGTCTCAGACCCTTCTTTTTCATCTCGCAAGCCATCCGCGATTCGAAGCATCTGGGCCATGAAAAAGGGTGCAGTGCACAAGAGAAGTGCGCTGTGAACAGGGGTGACTGCAGAAGATAGCGTGAGGTGGCTGTAGATGTCAACGGGGAACCGGGACGCGAGTGAGGCCATGGATCTCCCTGGACCTGGAGGACAATGTGTAGGGTGTCCCCACCATCGGCAAGAGGTACGCGAGGAGGTGAGGAGTGAGGTACAGATTATGTTCCATTTAAGTAAAGCAGCTCATGCTATTTTTTGCTCGTGTGCAAAGCCTTAAAAGTTCCGCAGCGGTCAGCTCCTTTAGATTCTAATGGCTGCAGCCGTGGCTAAATTCGCACTTTTTGCTTGGTCGGTTCAGCCAAGTACTCATTTAAACCCCCAGAAATCCTGGAATCAGTTCCGACAGGCAAAGGCATAGGGCTGATCCGTCATCGTCGATTTAAACTCGGGTGATGCTCGCAGACATCACAAGCCTTAGCGTGGCGTTTGGCAACCAGTGGGCAAATATTTGGCCACCTTGCTGGCGAATCCTTACCGAGTGATTCTCAGGCGAGGAGATGATGTGGATGTGGATACGGTGAATCTGAGGTCCGGGCATGTAAACACCAGCCGAACTTATGTGATGGCACATAGAATTATCATTGACGCGAGCGTGAGCAGTCCATCGTGTGGAGAGTTTAAAGCAGGCTGCGATCTCCCTCGTGATCGTGCGCTTCAGAAACTACGGTGATGACTGTGCGGTCCCCGATTAGTGTATTGATGACGATATTCCTTCACAGCAGGTCTTATTTCCAGTCTTCCGCGGCAGCTTTGACCACCGGAGCTGAGAAAGGTGGACCTATAACCTCGTAAATCCCTCGACGGAGAATTCCCCCAGTAATAGTTAGGTACTTCTACGTTTAGCTTTGCCGAAAGAGTCAACAAGTGAAGTCCGCGATCATCCATTTTATGGTTTCTCATCTGTTACAAGGGCTGGCCCGTTTCTACACACGCACTTGATTTGACATGTACAGAAAGCGGTGAGTATACGTTCCGAGACAGCTGGAGTCGCCAAATCATTACGTGGCGACAGTTGGACATGCAAAGTGTCGCCGTGGAATCGCACCGTGTAAAAACGACAGTATGGCTGAAGGGTTTCCCCCATTAAGAGGTGGAGTCTTACTACTGATCTGCTTAAGCCACCTTGTCCAGGAGCATTGGAATTACGATTGATGTCACAGGTTATCCTGCTTGACATGCACAACGTAGCCCGATCGCATGGATCGAAATTGCTTTTTTGGTCGAAGAGTCCGGTGGCGGGGGATTTCCTTTTCCTACGCATCTCGAGCATGGCCGAGGTGGAGCCTCACATCAGCAAATAAATTTGCAAGGGAGCCAAAATTACCACAACGGTCTTTGAGTGCGCGGATCAGTACGGAAAGGCTTAGGCGATGCAGTATCAGTCGACGTTCTCGTGTGTCCATCGTGAAGATACAATCCCCAGAACTTTGCCACACACCGAGCCCTTGGAGCTCAGCACCGTGATATAAGGATTTGAACAGCTTTCGGCGCTGAATCATTCAAGAGAATGACGTCACCAAAGGGAAGGATATTAAGTTACACCTATGAAAATGGTTTACGATGCTCCCGTTAGAGGTTGACCAAGCCAGGATGACGGAGAACACGAGTATTACCTCAAGCCAATCTCCTTTCCCGCAGATGACAGCAGTGATGGCACATTGCGTGTCGAGAAACTATTGCACGCGGGAAACGGACACCATGCAAAAAAAGGATAACTTAAACATGGAGGAACCGACAGTCATGCTGGTTGGTATCAAGGAGAGGCGAAAGACGAATTGACCAGATGTTGTTTTTCTTCGGAGATTTTAATTTTTCTCCCCCTCTGTCTCCCGTGATCTGTGTGATACATCTGCATCCTGAACATTCGGCGAGAATCGGAGCTTACATTGTTCCTTCGCTGTCACTACGTTGCCAGGCAAAACCACGTTCGTCGGGGAAAATGCTATATGCTCAGCCATTGGGCCGCCATTTACTGGTTGAAAGATGGACGGCACAGGAGGGGAGAGTGTGGTTGAGATCACTCGATAGATGTTGGTAGGAAAGTCGCGTATAAAGCAGTTACCTCTAGCTAGTTGTATGGCGACTCGACGCACGGGCCAGCAGAGCTCTGTGCTACTTGCCAGCTACACAAGAGATGGAACAACGCGTTTCTTGCATCGTTCATATCAAGATGAAAATAATAAAGCGCAACATCTTGCCAGGCTCGAATGTGCATGGCTTCTGCTGCTAGCATGAACGCGCTCTTTGACTCTGGTCTACAATGGCACCTAGGTATGCCTTGCCCAGCTCAGTCGTGCGCGTAAGAGCGCGTACGCGTCTCACGGATGCACTAACCAACAAACTCCGCTATACAGGGTATTCGTGGATTTGACAGCCAGTGATAGCGAGGACCGCGATGGGGCTGTCGCTTCTAGTGACAGGAAAAAGAAGACATGGACATCTTCATTTCCAGCTCCTAATGTTGTAAACAAACATCGGCGTTCTGTTCATCTACCCAGCCCAGCTTTATCAACTTCTGCCGATCCAAAATTACAGGCGCATGGTCGCTCGAAAAGAGCACATGCAGCCTCACAGGTATATCTTGCATCAAAGGCTTCAAGGCGCAAGCGTTCTGTGAAAGAAGCGTTTGGACGAACTGGCGTCACAGAGCTGCTCGATCTCACACAGCCGGATCCTGAAAAAGTCGCGCCATCATCAAAGTCTAATGCACGATCGACACTTAGAACTTCTAGTAGAAATTCGATGAATGATCTACTCGCGCGCATTGCAATCACAGAGAAAAACAGTGCAAGTCTTCTACTTGATACGCCAACTGACAAAGCATTCAATTCGTGCACGTACGTCGGAGGACAAGCACCATCGCGCAGTAGTAAGTGACAGCATCATGTATGAAATCATCTCCACTTACATTTTTAGGACCTACGGCGGTTTCGTCTCCGAACCCAGGAGAGCGAATACTTGAGACAGTAGAAATTCATCAGCCAATCTCTTGGCCAGTGTTGGCAGCAGGGGATTCTTCTGAAAGAAACAACGTTGAGTCTTTGAAGCCAAAGTATTGGGATACATTCAATAACAGTAATCTTAATAATCGACTTGGTCGGCCATGGACAGATGCTGAAACCGTTATGGTTGCCTATCTTTACGAGGTAGCCAAGCTGCCTTGGACTTCAATCGACAAGAAATTGGGTCGAGGGTATAACTCTTGTGCGTCAAAATACACTCGAATCCCTACTGGTCTCAAGAACTCAGCTGTCAGAGAGAAGATGAGACTGATAGATCGACTTCGAGCTATCCAAGCCATGCTCAACACCATCGATCTCGACATAAATGAAGTCACAGAATATCTACAGCGGTATATCGAGACCGGATCGCTTCCGCGGGCAGCAGCTGAAGACTTCCGGAGGCTTTCTGAATGGGACCCCACAGCAGATACTCCCATATTTGGCACGCGTGATGGCAGCGCGATCGTGGACAATTCGCGTGCATCATCATCATCTCCATCATCATCCGATCTTGAACATTCAGCTGTTTACACCATGACTCGAAAGAAGAGAGTAACGAATAGCGGTGAAACGGTCAGCTTGGAGGGACTTCGTCTCAATTCTTGTCTCCTTGCTGAGAATGCGGAACTAAATTCTGCCCACGAACGAGGTACTTCACCAGATTCCGGTTCAATACATGATTCATCGCCTGAAATTTCACTTGTGAACCAACCCGAGGATCTAAGACTGTTTGATTTTACTGTCAATCCAGCCTCTGATCATGACTCTGGATATTATATTCAACGAAAAAAACCGTACTTGTCGATCAGAGAAATGTCATTTGCGAAGCGAGCAATCGCAATCGAACAAGAAGAGGCAGGTGTTTGGCAGGGCACTACGCTGCATCACGGCTTTTCTTTATCTGAGATTACAGCGGTCATTGAAGCAATCAACCGGGCATGCCCTGAGTTATACGATCATAATCCAACTGGCCAGCTTCATAAGTTATTGTCATCAGTTAATGATGCACAACTAAACATAATCGCGTCACTTGCCGCACAGGATAATTGTCTTCGAGGCCGGACCAGAAAAAGCATCAGAAGTTTCTTGAGTGACGCAATTGCAGGACGGGCTGTGCTACAGCCGTCTCGAGTTCGAATCAGCCGGAGACGATTTGTTCAGCTTCCAGAGCAAACGTGTCCCACGAAGCAATTGCTTCAACGAGAGCTTGGAATAAAGTCATACAGGAGCTCAATTTCCCATGTCCGAGATGCATTATATGATACGATGACTGTCACGCGTTCTTTCACCGGGACATCTGGCGATGTAGGCAACTTGGCATGGTCTCCCACCGGAATCCATTTTGCTGCAGGCTCTGCCTGCCTTGTGGACCAGAACAACATGCAGTATAACCAACCAAATAATCTGCTCTTCGGGAATACGGAGCAAAATATGCTGTATGAGCTTCCTCATCATCATCGTGAGAGGCCCAAGGTAGACGAAGGCGTCAATGCGCTGCATTCTATGCACATGTCTCAAGATTCACGACTATTTGAGACAGTCTCAATGGTCGAATTCTCATCGGATGGTGCTTACATGTTCTCTGTGGGCTACGATCATCATCTCCGAATGTACAAAGTCGACGGAAATCGTGGCTGCTGTAATTTACTAGACTCGTTTGACCACAATGCGAAGATTGATCTTCTGAATGTTAGTCGGAAAAGCGGTCTACTTGCTACTGGCTCTGCAAACGTTCGTGGTGGCGTTAAAATCTTCAAACACGATGATCTGGGACTCAGCATGTTGAAGCACTACTCCTCACCAAGAGCCAACTCCGCAACCGAAGGCAGAATTATGCCTTCTGCTCTTAAATGGGGCGTCCATTCCTCAGTCGCTGAATACCTCATGGTGGGGTTCTCTTCTAACACCGGTGTAGAAATGAACGCGCCACCTGCACACGGAGAACTCTGCCTTTGGAATGTCGAGAAAGATGCTCAGATACAAGTCGCTCCGGCTGCAGGCGAAATTTTTGATTGCTCTTGGAGTGCTTCCAGTGGCTTGTTCCTAACGGCATGTGCTGCGTACGGCGTTAATCTGAATCGAGGAACGCGGTCTCTTGTCCGTGTTTACAGTCCCCTGCAAGAAGCGGGAGATCTTCGCTGGACGACTCGTGGTCTGCAATTAGAATGCCCCGCACTTGACATAAATGATGTGATTTTCAATCCATACAATCAGATGCATGTTGCAGCCGGAGCTACGGATGGGTCAATCTATGTCTGGGATCTTAGAAATCCTGATAATATTCTTCATCGATTGAGCCATGGACAGCCTCTTATGGAACTTGATCCCGATTTCTCTCGAGAAGCTGTTGATACGGGAGTTCGATTCTGTTCATGGGCAGACAGAACATCAAGGCTCTACTCTGGCTCGTCAGATGGCATCCTAAAGGTTTGGGATATTCATCGTGCCACTGAAGATGCTCACGTAAAGGACCTGGCTTCGTTCAGTTCCGGCATAATGTCTGGTGCCTTCGCGAACGATTACTCAAAGCTATTGATTGGAGAGGTTAATGGCTCTATAAACCTACTCGAGTTGGGCGCTGACCCAAGACCATTGAGTAAGGTGGAGAATTTTGTCTTGCAGAATGCTGAAGTGCAGGACGCTCAATATGATCAGACTGATGACGAACATTCTGGTGTGGCCATTGCAAGGAATCTGGTTCGGGACGGCAAGATAGAGATCAGAGCTCTGGGTGGATATCCCAAAAGACAAGCGCTTCAGGGCCCAGCCTACGACGGACCATATGATCGTGGAACTAAGACGGCGGCACATCGAGCTCAATCGGCTTTATTTCAGCATTCCGTATCAGCATCAAGTCCACAATGCTCCCTATCTGGCTGTAAAAGTGCTGGCAACTTCTTTGGGGCAGAGGAGATTGGAGATTCTGGCAGGTCCCAAGATAGAATACCACAAGCTCTGCGCGATTGCGTGAAGTCAGTCCGGCCCCACAAAATGACAGGTACATCGACGCTCAAATGCACACACTGCGACTGGCCGGCTCGAGTCCGAGAAGATGATCTGAGTCAAGCTGCGTTCCCGCTTTGCGAGAGGTGTTCTTTTGCGTGCATTCGTTGTGGAGAATCGATAAAACTATCGCCAATGATCGATCAAGTGCATTGTCGAAAGTGTGGTCTGGAATGGAATATCGGTGTTCTAGGCTATCAATTGAAGCCGTCCTACTCTGACCCGAAACGTAATCAGAAGTCCGACAGGGAAAGTCTTGATGATTCGGACGATGCGGATGAGCAGGGTGTGTCGAATGAAGTTGGGGATCTGCTGCATTTGGTTGAAGAGCACCACCATTCGTTGTGGGAAGACCAAAAGCCAGTCCAGTGCTGAACGACTTGGCTTCCTCCCGTGTCTGATTGGTGTTAAGTTAGTCAAGTCTCGAGCTTATTCTAGAAGGCGAGCTTCGTAACCAGAAGCAGCTACGACTGCATGTAGAACGACACTGTAACAAAAAGAAAAGACTAAGATGAAGGATCGCATCCCGAATCAAGAACATGTAAACAATGCGAGGTCCCTCCGCCGTGCATTGCGCGTGAGATCTAGTGGAGACGAGTTCTGATCTGAGACGTGCTCGGTCGATCTTGCCATTGCTGTGCGTCTGGCCATCGCTTGGCAAGCCACAGGAAGGCTGAGCCTCACAGGCTGCAACCCAAGGGTCCACTTGGCAGCACGCATTCGTCCCCGGCTGGTACATGTCCGTGTTCTTGTCCACCTGCCAGCGCTCGACCTACTGCAATGTTGACCCTGTGTCTCTCCTTTGAGCTCGAAATCGCGCCGTCTTGAACTTCGCACCCGGGAGCCCTCGTCTTTGCTGCGCGTCGGGGTACGCTGCGCAATCCTACGCAATCGTCCCCTCGTACACTTGCTCCGTGTCGTCCGCGTCAGCTCCTACACCACCATTCGTTCCGAACCGTTCGCCATGGTGTCATACCCTAAGCTCACGCCGCTACAATCGCGGTTTGTAGCTTGCTTGGGGACGTCCCTCCTTCTCATCATAATCTTTTTCTTGCTCAACCCCTCCCATTTCGCGTATGCGGCCGAGCTGGACTCGATACTTAACAAAGATCATAACCACCACCGGATAGTTGGTGGACTAGCAGGTGATCTGGACTGGGGCTCCATATTCACTGATACCGAGAGCTATGTTGAAGAACAGGACGTTGACCAATACGAAGCAAAGTTCGGATGGGGTCTCGTGGAGAGGGCGCCGCTGGACACTGTGAGCTTGAAGAATAATCTGCCGAATACTTTGAATTTGAACCCAGGCGAGACTCAGTATTATGTATTTGAGCAAGACGAGCTCAGCGCGAGCCCAGGGACGAGGGGAAGGCAATTACCCACGAATGTCACCGGGCCCGGAGCTGACGTGACTTCGAACGCTAAGAGAAGGAAAAGAAGTATTTCAGAGGACGCTGAACAAGAGCACGAAACCGTGGAAGGGGACAATATCCTTGAGAAGAGACAGAACACGAAGACGGTGTACGTCAGTGCCAATACGTGCCTCCAACCGTTACTTAACGAGAACAAGACGGGCACTCCGGGACAGCCTACAATTTTCTATTCTCTCAGCGACAACAACCAAAAGCCCAGCGCGGACCAAAACGACGGCACCGTCCAGCTCGACCAAGGATACGCAGCGGTTGCGATACCTAACGTAAGTGGCAATCTGTACATCTCGATCTCAGCGCCTGATCTACCAAACGATACCTTCACTGGCCCTTGGAACTATCAGATCGCAGCCAGCATTGACGACTACTATCACTACTACGACAATTCTACCGCATTTATGTGGACGGTGGATACGGACTCGAATTCGGCACTGCTGGCAACCTACAACTTGACTGGACAGGATGGAAACTCGACTACAATCCAGAACCAGCGCAATGAATGGATGAACACCAGTCCTCCCTTTGACATCTACGTGTTCAATTCGTCGAGCCCGAAGATAGACGGTATCAAGCACTCGTACTGCGGTTTGTCGAAGCTGAACATGGATTTCATGCGCATCAACACAAGTATGACAGAGAGAGGTGTGGGTAGCAATCCGAAGCAGCAGTTTTATATACAGAGTCTGTTGCCTGGAAATACATACTTCAGTGTACTGGCCTATCAGGGGGGAAATGTATCGACGGAAGATCAGGCAATCGTTGGTGGAGGAGGTCAGGTCTGGAAGAGTATGCAGTTCAGCACCAAGTCAGGTATGTGCCTCTTCTCTTGGTTATCTACATGCCAGCTTATTCTGAATTGCTGATATTTTGGGCTTCCAGATGGAAATTGTCGGGTAATCTTTGACCTGCCCTTCTGCGATGCGGTCGCGTATGCAGTACCAACCGATCCGTCCAACAGCACGCTGTCCAACCTCACAACTCTCTCACAGATCTACGATTCCAATGCTGCGGCGCTGTACCAGAACTTTTCTCTCTCTCTCCAACAGATTCCTTGCAACACCACCAACTCAGCGCAATATTCCTTGTCCAGCACGTGCGACGACTGCGCGCGCGACTACAAGACTTGGCTCTGCGCCGTCACCATTCCCCGCTGCGTAGATTTCTCTGCCACAGACGACTACCTCATGCCTCGCAACGTGGGACAACCATTCGCCAACGGATCGCAGCCCACCAACCTCAACGAAACGATGGCGAACATGATCATGTACAACAGCAGCCGCAGCTCGCTCATTGCGTCTGGACCGTACAAAGAAGTGCTACCATGCCAAGAACTCTGTTTCAACATGGTAAAGTCCTGTCCGACGAGCTTGGGTTTTCTGTGCCCGCAAAGGAATGCTCTGTGGGCCCCGCTGGCAAAGAGCTACGGCACGTACGATCCGAATAACATTCTGGGACAGGACGGGATCTTGAATATCAGCGGCTTGAGCTGCAACTACCTCGGCGTGGATTGGCCGACATTAGGGAATTCGGGAAGTGTTTTGGCGGCGCGATGGCCTGGCTGGGTTGTGCCCCTTGGCATCATGGCGTGGATGCTCTCCGGCTGGTGAATAAAAAGAGATAGTGTGTCTGCATGAAACAGGAACGAGGCACGAAATTTTCTATTTAAGTTGCACGGCGTCCACGGACATCCCGAGTCTTGTATGAACATTATGCTTGGCTAAACTCGAATGCCTAAAACATGTCTTGGTCGAGTATTTCGGTACCGTTTATCGCCGCGTTGACAGCTCTTTTGCAAGCCTTCGTTCACTGGGCATTCCAGTAGAGCTCTGCCACTGAGATGTCATTATGTTCCATCATTAAACTATAGAATCGCCTAGGCCTTTGAGCCTCCAAACCACAATCATGATTTACTTTCAGACTCATGATGGCGGTGATGTGAAGACTTATACAACGTTCCCATGCCGATCAGCACATTCTAATCGAACACCAGTTATCACTCGGTATAGTCTTTATTTTTTTGATTTTTTTACTTGTATGTTTTCCTTTTTCTAAGCTTGATAAGGTCTTTTTCTATACATGGCTAGCATTATCTGCGGACGGAGCTTGTGATCGTCAAAATTGTCTGACGGCTACGATCACAGCACAATCCTAGAGAAGGACCGCTGTACGTACTTCCTCGCTTACCAGATGTTAAATTTGACCCCGGTTGGCGCAACACGGCATATGGTGTATGATGCACGTCAACACTGGATATATGCAAGGCTTCGCAACATCAGTTCCAGATCCGGAACATTCTGAGCGTTGAGCTCTCTCAAGGCGTCAAATCTGCCAGACATGCATGCCATAGCTTCGACCTTGACTCGTCGAGTCCAATTCGCTTGTCGCATCGAAAGCCGCAAGTTATCTTGGAATACAGAACAGCTCAGCTTTCCGCGATTGCATAGGAAGGGAGCATACATGCACGGTGTTTCTTGTTCGCTTAAAAGGCTGCGAAAGCATAGGCTTCCGCATAATTCTGATTTAGCGACACACGGCGAGAGACTCGCTGATAAGGCATAATGGGGCCCTGGGTTCGGCCAGCTGCTCAAATTTATTCATATGCGGGGTCACCTTATCGTGGTTGTCAGTTTGCTGCCAAGCTGAACGTGTCAGCCACCGTGCAGTAACTTTCTAAGTCCATTTCCCTTTTCTCTCGGCGTTCTTGATCGCGCTGCTTTCTTATTCCCATATTGCATACGATCGCTTGGATATCTTGACGATGTTATCAACCTCCACCTCAGTCGCTCAAAGCCATACCTTAGCTCCTAACAATGCATCTTCTGAAATTTGATGAGACAGAACAACTAAGTCTGACTGGATTCGGGGATGGCAACTACGACATCCTCCGATATGCTAGACTTTTCTCATACATGGCTTGCTGATGGGGGTGGGCCTACCTTTGGAGACTTGATGAATGGGACTGGACTGGAGAAGGCTGAATACAGAAGGCTACGTTTCTGTCAGGAAGAAGCAAGGAGGAACGACATGGAGTATTTCTGGGTAGACACATGTCGCATGATACACACTCACCAACAACGACAACGCCCCAAGAAAAGGGTGGCCTATGCCGCCGAAAATGACGGCAGAACATATGTAACTTTTCAGACACAAAACGTACTAATGTTTTTCTACCGTCTGGCATTTTATCTGAGAATCCTTGAGAACCCCAACCCTGAGCATATCGAACAGGCTCATGAGCTCACCCTGAGCCAACGTGAGCCGGCGTGCTCTGCTTGATTCCAGCCTGAGCTCCTCTGCTTGCGCTTGATTCCATCCCTGAGCACCATGAAGAGGATCCGAGATTGGGCCTCAATCAGCTCGTAGACATGTGAGGCGTCACAGACTGACTGATCCCGCTCTTGGCCCCCAATCATCTGTGGGCAACCTCTTCGACCCGCGTACTGATAATCCTTCCCTTTGACCTACGGTCCCCAAGACGGCTTGGATAATTCAATTCGCCCCACTTTTCCGGACAGCCTCTTTTTCCAAGGACCAGAACAGCTCCACTTCCCCCACCCTCCACCTTCTCGATCCCATTACTCATAATGCGCTAAGGCCGCTTCAGGATACCGTGGTAGCATATAGAGCCTTGTTACCCACCCAGGAAATTTTCAAGAATGCCTGGCTGCTCTGGAATGCTACTTGTAGTTTCCTGCATGCTGCCCCACCGATCGGTTCCTCCAATCAAAGGCTGAGCTCATTGTAAGCTACAAAAGTGCTGTCAGGAGAGGCGATGACCTATTCAAGTCACGCTGGCTTATGTTATGAGAATAACATGGAAAGTTAAAGCTACGTGAAAAAGATTGATCAATTTGATCATTCTCGGCAAAATGAGAACCAGGGTGTTGCGATATATAAAGGCAGTCGTTGATGCTCCGAACAATTCTATGCCCCCTCCATGAACCAGCCAATCATTGACGCAGTTTCCGCATTTCGAATGCCTACAGAATCATCCTCGCCGCGGAAGAAGCATCCGAGAAGGAGAGGTTCGTACTCTCGGCCAGAGTTGTATTATCCGCCACTGCTGATCAGTGTAAGCTTGACCCGCATACTGCGAACCACAACGCCGCGATCGACATTGAGGGCGGTGAGAGTTTGATGTCCCTTCACCTGCAACAGCAAGCCGCGACGTCCGTTGTTCATGATACTGAAGAAGATGTGGAGTGTGTACAAGCTTAAAGGTCTTGCGATCGAGGTAAACGCAAGGTCTGATCATTATTGATTTTGCTGATCCCCATTTAAGGCAAAACGAGGAAACGGATTGATGACCACGGGGAGAAGCTGAACAGACTTGGTAGAAGCTAGAACGAGAAGGGGTATATGTTAAAGGAGTAACTCGCCAAACTATACAAAAGGCATCCTTCATGCTGAGCGAGGATATCAATGACCTCGCTCTGGTCAACATCAACAGCTATATGAACACATTATCTAGACTTGTCAGAGCACTTGAAGCTTTGCAGAGCACAGAGTGAATTGAGTTGGTTGAATACCGATATATACGCGGTGTTACAAAACAGTTTCCAACACGCATTATTCCTCCGCAGCAAGCCGTTTCCTGGGACGTTTCGAAGCGCCTCGGCCGGTGAAGGAGGTATTTGGGGTGGTGTCTCTTGCGCCTTCAGTACTTTGCCAACTGAGCTCTTGTAATTGCGAATCGGGCTGACTCGATCCCGAGAGATGATGGCGCTCCAGGTCTTGTGAAAGCCCGAAGCTCTGGGAAAGTTGTGGAACGCTGAAATCCAGGTCTGCCGGGATTTGATCTATAGCCGAACATAGCCGTTTAAAATGATTTGGCATCCATATTTCGTAGACGTTCTTGGTGAACTTGTACGCCGTCCATTTCTCTTTTCCATCAAGAGCTGTGAAATCGAAAGTGTGTACTGGATGGCGGTAGTACTTGGTGTCCTTCCCGTCAATGACTGGGTAGTGACCATAGATTCTCACCGACCTGTGGTCATGCGAGATTGAGAAAGCGAGAATCTCACGGTGAAGCTCCATCTCACGGCCAACGAGTCGAAAGAGCTCGACAGTAGCTCTCACAGCAAGTGTCATGCTGTGGGCATTCTGTCGGTCCGCGATATCGAGCGCTGCAGTACCGCACTTCACCTCGCAGGTAAGAAACGGGAAGTACATGTAGTACGTAGCCATAAAGTACGACTGATCGCCGGAGATGAAATTGCCAATGAATGGGGCAAGCTTGTCAAGCTGCTCGTTGGTAAATGCTTCCCGCTTGAATCCTACAGAGTAGTCAGGCTGCGGACGCGTCCCTGTCAAGGGAAAGGAGTTGTTCCAGCCTTCGTTGACACTTTCGATCAAGAACTTCAGATGCTTGGCTCCGTACGTTGTCAGGGCCTCCGCCGAAGGTACGATTAATCGACTAATGTCTTGAATAACCCTAGCTTCATTCCGATTTTGAATCTTTTGGAAGGTTTGCTCGAAGAGGTCGTCGCGAAACAAAGACTGCTCGTGAACGGTTTGCTCCTTCTGGAGCAAGGAGCGGCAAAGCGTCTTACTTCCTTCGTCAACGTCAAGGTCGGATTTGATCATAAAGCTTCCCTTAGTCGCAAGTAAAGCCTCATAACGTGGATCTTGGTAAGGAGCGCTCTTGACTTCTCGTGGCTTTTGGTCGCTGGGTGTTGTTGAGCTCGGCGCGACAGAGCTCGTCGCGACAGAAGCTTGATCAACGGAGACCAGCGGAGATTTCCTCCGGCGAAGGGAGGCCGAGGACTTCTGCCTGGCAAGTAGATGACTCATGTTTTTGTCACTCTGCTCAGAATATCCTTTGGGCCAGTGTCCTGTCTTTGTCCAGTACAGTATGGGATCTTTTTGGCCGTCGACGCTGTCTGCCTCCTCTCGTTCAGTTGAGTTGTCAACAGCGGCTTTGTTAGGATTGTGTCGTGCCTGTTTGCGAGAAGCACCTGTCGCGCCGGATTCTGAGATATTCAGGCGTCGCTTCCTGCCTTCGGTGTGCTGGACAGGTAATGGCTGCTGGACAAGTTTTCGAGGCCGCTTAGATCGTCTGGGGTCCGCGGCTTGCTCGGCTTTGATTGCTCGAGATCTCCTTCGCGTCTCCACTTTCTGGGCAGAGGGCGTATTTGTTTCATCGCGACTGCCAGTTCGAGGGCGTAAGATTCTTCGCAACGAATTCTCCTCCACGGCTTGTTCCTGTGTGTCGTTAGATCTCTGACAACAACAGACGCTGTCGCACGCGTACCTCTTGTCGCTTATTGTCCGTCCGAACTGTAGACTCTTTCTCAATCGCCAGACTCTTCGCAAAACGGGAGGTTCGGGGACGGGTAAGACGTTCGCAATCCCTACGATGCGCTTTGTGTTGTCAGCACATGCTCTGCATAAGCAGCAGACAACGTGCATTTACATACCTTTGTTCTCTGAGGATGGCATAGGCAGTCTTTGCTGGGCGGCTAAAGGCTTCGAACTTGCAGCCATGTTGTTTGAGTCGAGATATCGAGCGCAATGTCTTGCCGCCGGATTTTGTCGCGGAGTTATCTAGCGCAAAACCCAACAACAACGCCAAGCCACTGCGGAGCCATGACGCACGTGCTTCTATCCCTGCACGTTTGTAGGTGGTCGCAGTCACACTGACTGACTAGCGTAAAACATCACAACAGCGAGAACGTGAATTCTTGGAATCTAGTAATTTTAACGGTGCATACACACTCCTCCACCTAGTAGTTAGGCGGATTGACAGGCCTGACGCGGCGCCCAACGCGTGAGATACAGGTATGTCGATTCCCTGGCCCAGGGGGGAGTCCTGGTCAAACAGACTGCCAGAGCACGCTACCCAACTAGCGAAGCACCTTCAAGCGGCGGCGCGATTCATACATAGCACGCCTAGCAGTACTATTGAACTAGACCTAGTGAAATCAATAATCTTCGCGGCCCTCAACTTCGTGACAAAAGTATAGCAAGCCCCGGATCTTATCCATATCCACGATGCAGTCTATGCTATCCAAACACAGCTCCAAACAGGAGCAGAAGACTTAGCAAAAGAGCTAGCAATAATAAAAGAGGGAATATATAGCCTTACTGCAGAAGCCTAAAAGATAGTAATCATCAGCGAAGAGGCAAAAGTAGCAGCCCTTGAAGCAGCAGTGATTAGCAGGACCACGGTGGACATCGCGAAGGACATTAAAAACAAAGGAATACAATCCCAGGAGGGGACACCTATAAGCTATACTACGGCGGCGGCCAGAGGCGCTTATAGCGTACAGACGCATGAGCAAAGGATGCCTCCTACCGCGCTGACCCAGCGTGAGATCATAATAAACATCAAGGATAGCCATATAATCAAACGCTTGCGAGCGATAAACCCACGGACCCTTAAAACATACATTAACTAAACAATTACCTAAAGCAAAAATAAGCACATCACTGGTATCACCATAATATCAGCCAACCCGTTAAAGAGCGGGGACCTCAGTATCCAAACAACAACAGGTAAGGAGACGCAGCTCCTGCTGTAGTTCACAGACAACTGGGTAGCACGAGTTGGTAGCGGTTCCTCAGTTAGGAACCCAACTTACGGCGTCTTAGTGCACGGCATATAGGTCAGCACAGTCAACATGGACAAACAGGAAGACATAAAAAACGCCATTCTGCAAGACAGTTGTTAGGAATACTCTCCCAATACCGACTAGCTTCACTAATGTAAGCCACTTCGGAAGGGTTTAGCTTCCTAGAGCAGAGGAACAATGTATAACAAGAGCTTATTATGGAAGGACAATAATAAGATAGTTATATTTATGACTTAGAATAGTCTGAGCTTCAAGAGTAAGAGAAAGTATTCAAACTAACTACTAGGTAAACTAGACAGTTGAATCACGAAGAAGTGTAACACCGGTAGGGACAGGATGTTTATATAGACGTGAGAACCTGGGCGCTCACTCTGATCAGGAATGATCAAACTGATCACAGACTGCACCCCTGATTCGTCCTTTTCCCCTGGACAAATCACAGTCCTTCACTTATGCAAGTCGCTCACCTCGATCATGAATGATCAAGATGATCGCTTTTCCTCACGTGATTTCCATGTTACCTCGTAACAACAATAAACCTTTTTTCCTAAACACGGAGATCAAATATATTAGATAGCTTACCTAGCAGGCACTAAGTAAAGTGATATTATCAATCATTATAGAATTTATAAGGCCTAAGGACGCCAACAAGATTATCAATAAGGGCCTAGTTGTTAGGAATACTTTCCCAATACCGACTAGCTTCACTAATGTAAGCCACTTCGGAAGGGTTTAGCTTCCTAGAGCAGAGGAACAATGTATAACAAGAGCTTATTATGGAAGGATAATAATAAGATAGTTATGTTTGTGGCTTAGAATAGTCTGAGCTTCAAGAGTAAGGGAGAGTATTCAAACTAACTACTAGTTAGACTAAACAGTTGAATCACGAAGAACCGTGATACAGGTAAGGACAGGATGTTTATATAGACCTTATTCTTGGCGTCCCTGTTGCCTTGCTCCTTCTGCTCATTCTGCTCAAAATGAGCAGAATGATCACTTCCGCCAATCAGCGACATCTCAATCATCAACCATTGGTTGATGCGCTCATTCTGATCATTTTGCCAAGAATGATCAAAATGATCAAAATTATGCTCACATGACTATTCACGTGTTACCTCGTAACACTAGTGTGGTAAGGAGAGATGTGCTAGAGTGAAAGAGCTCAATTGTGTTCACATACACCCCCTGAAGACCGGAAACTGCTTTATCGGAAGCCGCACCGCCCAACGCGGCC